AAAGCCCACAGAAGTGTTAGGGACCTCTTAAAAGTATGGTCCCTAGGAGGTTTTCATTCCCAAGTTAGTCCACATTCAGTCTTCAGTAATTCATCAAGATGACCACGGAAGTGTTAGTAAAAGCTTCTGCTCCAAGTAAAAAGACCTTTACTCTATCTTTGTAGGAGCTTATGTCTTCTCACTTCAGGGTGGGAGTTTGCCTGGCAACTTCAAAATAATTGGTTTTCATTTTTTCCATCTTTCTCTGGTTGTAAGAATAGTAACAACTTTTAACTATCTGTCAAAGCTGAAACTGGAAGTTCCCTCTGTTTTAACTCTAGAAATTATTTTTTTTCTTGTACTTTGATATATACATTCTCTCTCTCTCTCTCTCTCTCTCTCTCTCTTATATATATATACATATATATATATGTGTGTGTGTGTGTGTAGGGGTGTGTATGTGTGTGTGTGTGTATATATCAGTATGTTTTTTTAATTTTAAAAATATTTTCTATATACTTAGCATCAGAAAAATTTTCATCTTGTATAGACTGCCATAATACTAAAATTTGGATCTCCCATGATTTAAATTTGTTCGTATTATGGTGTGATCTTCTTTATTATAATATAAATCTTACCCAGCAGGGAGCTATGACATTTTATTAAAAAAGGAGCTTGTCCATTCTGCCCCCATACTGCATTTTATGTGTGAATTAGTAATTGGAAGATAATAGCAACCCTAATCCAACTCATGAAAAAGCTAAAGATGACTCTTAAATCCCACTGGTGAAATATGAATGAAGTTTGTACTTTTGTTAACAGTATTGTACCATTGTTAATTCTTTAGTTTTGATAAAGAAGCGTTGGTTGTGTAAAATGGTAACTTGAGGGAAAACTAATGAAAGGTATATAGTAACTACCTGTACTCTCTTTGCAGTCTTCGTTAAATATAAAATTATTTCAAAACAAAGAGGTTGAAAATGCAAACAAATCTAACACATCTTAAAGCATTAAGCAGGCCTCTGTCCTTATATTTTGCTTGTCATCTCTGTTTATAGCTAATAGTGATTTATTAGTTAACTCTCACTATGTACATGGCCATTTTATTAAATTACCTAGTTCATATGCACTTGTTTGTAGAATGTGTGATGCCCAAATAGGTAAAGATTTTATTCATTTCTTCCATCTCTTGTCATTGTTCAATATATATAAACTTGAAGTTTGAAAAAAATATATATAAATTTCAAGTTTGAAAAAACTTGAAAAAATATCAAGTAAATAACAGGATGTGGTTTCTTTCTGTGCATAAGAAAAAGCAATACAGACTACATGCTGGTTTGTTTCAGGGTGTGACACTTTAATGTATGCTGTGAAATTACTTGAATTACTTTAAATTTTTATCTATTATTATTCAATATGAAATGTACAAATCTAGAATAGAACAACCTTTCATGTAATTTACATGGAGACGTGCCAGTGTTCAACAATTTTGTCAAAATAATTTCAGTAGCATCTACTTAACATTTAAACCAATCTTTCATGGTTATTGGTAAGAGTATGAACACTTTTTGTTCAACAGTTTACAACTGACTGTAGCATAAAAAGAAAAGTATTTGGAGTGGTATAATATTAATGTGGTGAATGCAATATTGTTTAGCATATAGTGAAAGAAATTGAAAAGTAACATTTTCTCATTAATATGTGAGAAAATTTGTTTAATAAATGAGTATGTTTTGAATAATGAGTGAAGAGAAATTCTCTTTTAGGTAATGCAATTTGTCTCTGGTGTTCAATGTAGGATGGGAAACTAAATTTCATGCTCAAGAATATACACCTTCTTCATACGCACAAATTTTATTTGCTATAAGATGATCATATCACATTGTAATAAAACAATGTGGTCTTAAAGGTGAAGGAAAGGATGAGACTTTCCCTGGTAAACATTAAGAAAAACCATTTAAAAAAAATTGAAAAACAAACAGAAAAACTTTCATTAAAAGAAAGTATAAGACCAATTTCAACTCTGACTGGGTGTTGAGAGAGTTGTCTAAGCCAAAGAGATTATTCGATGGAAAGGACAGTAGTCAAGATGTGTGGTTTGTTTCCTGGTAATAAGGACATAATGGAGAGAGACATATAATCACACCTGTATGTATCAACATTTCAATTTTTATGGATTTAGTAATAGAATATCCATAGAAAGCTTTAAGGGATTTTGAATATGACCAGCTGCAGGACCTAAAGAGAAACTAGCATCTATGAAAACACAGAACATGTTATCTATTTATGCTGCTTTCTCACAACCAACCACTTTACTAATTAATGTATTCTATTTTTGTGGGGGGGGGTAATGTAAAATTTAATAGGGTGTATTTCTCAGATAGTTTATTGGTCTTCTTTTTTTTTTTACTTATTTGTTAACTGAAATATTATTGTCTCTAATATGCATGAACTACTATTCTAGTCATTGGAGATTCAACAGTGACCAAATAAAGCAAGATCTGCACCTCTGTAGACTTCATAGTCTAGTGGATAACATAGATGAAAAATAATTTTTTTAAGTAATTGTGTAATTATAAAATTAATACAATTTTTTGAAAGAGACAAGCAGAACCAGAGAGAAAGAGGGCTATAACACTTTGAGAGATAGAGCCAGGAAACCTTCTTTGAGAAGGTGTTAATTAAGCTAAGATAGGAATAGTAAAGGAAACCCAGAATGCAAAGAGAGTTCAGAGATAATAGCATATACAAAAGTAGTGAAAAGAGACTCAAGTATTTCAGAAAAAAATGACAATGTATGTAAATTGTTGTAGATAAGGGGAGGGTGCTAGAAAAAAGGTCCACTAATTATTTACTGGTTCTTTCATTCAATAAATATTTTTCATTCACTAGCAAACCAATATTGGAAATACATGTCTGGCATGCACTTATTAAAGACTTGAAACCTCACGGGATATGCAATTATAGGTACAATATTCAAGTCAGGAAAAGTTTTCTTGTACAATTGTTCATTTGTTAATTTAGTAGCAAAACCATATGTTTTTGTTATTTCTGTTTTGTTTGGTGTTTGTGTTAATGATCTATAAGCTCATGTACTGTTTTGCTACCAACATTCTAAGCATGCCTCTTTTCCTGTTTGTAAAGTTAAGTGGAGTTTAAACTGGAGTTTGTGATCATCGGTGTTTACATATTGAGATGTCAACTGGTAAACTGAGGCTTTGTTTTCTGGAGCTTTCCATTTTCTTCAGATCAATTTTTATACAGGCAAATTAGTGTTATAATTAATGAAAATTGCATATATAACTTTTAGAGAGTAAATCGGCATACTTACATAAATTCATTTCTTAAAGTTGAACCTCTGATGCCTTCTTATAACCAGTGGGCATATTAGGATTCCCCCCACTGGACCGATAAGGTATGATTCACCTTCCTCTGCAATTAGAAGTGCTTCAATGGCAATATGTAAAGAGAATTTTTAAATAGTAGCTTTCTTTGTTCATATGTAGACTTCTCTTCTAATCAAATTAGAAGTGACCTTTCAAAAATACAAATGCTGTCAGGTTATTTAAAAACCTTAAATGGCACTGCATTTTATAAAGTTAAAGTCCACAGTAGTTAGCAAAGCATTACCTCTTCTGCAAAGTCAGCCAAGTAGAGCCAAGTGTTGTCTCCTCTCTTTCCTCTGATGTTTTCTGTCATAGTTCATCTCAGTTACAGAACTTATGGAATTTTGTTATGATTCCTATTTATTGGAGTCCTAGGTTCAAGAAAAATTAGCCTACAATGTATCATGCAACAATACAGTTGGATCGGTTATTTCAATCACACAATCCCTAAATACCATTGTGAAGATAGCTATCCTGTTTTAACTTTGTTACCACCATGAAATAAGCATTCTTACAATCAAACGACAAAATTTTGACCTAAAATATCTGTATTAAATTACTGTTTTATCATTGATTGGGTAAAACATTGGTCTTATATTTGTTCTCAATTTATTTTATTATCTGTTTTCATGTTAAGATCCTTATAGAAATAAGAAATCTCTTTCTTGTTATGATATCTTCCCTAAATAGAAACCCAAAGTCTGGGGTTGCAGGTTATTTGGCTCATTAGTGTCTTAGGTCAACACATAGCAATTTCCATTTCAGAGATCTCTTTTCTCTCTAGAAGTCCAGGCTCATTCAGGGACATCCTTGAATATTCGGTTGCCTAAAAGAGAGATGTTCAAATATAACAGGACATGACAGTTATATGAACAAATAATTGTAATATAAGATGACTATTATGTCAAAAGTACTTATCATAGCGTTATAGGGAAAAAAAGAATTGTTATGAAAACAAATGGAGAAATAAATTTTTCCCAGAATTAGGACTTATTTTTAAAGTGTCATTTGACATTTTATAAATGGAAAAGAAAAAAGAAAGAAAAGCAATGTGAAGCAAAAAAAAAAAAAAAAAAATTGGCAAAAGCAAAGGTGTGGAGACATGAATGTTTAGAGAAATGGTTCTCAAGTTGTGCTCCTTTGTCCAGAGCCTCAACATCACATAGAAACTTACTAGAAATACAAATTTCTGAGCCAACCTAGATCTCAACATTCAGAAACTCTAGGAGCAGAGACTAGTAATTTGTGCATTAACATGATCCCCAGATGATTCTGAAGTATGAGGAAATTTGAGAACTATAGAGCAAGGAAAAAATAATAATAATAACAATTCAAAATAGCTCAAATGTAGGTCATAATGGTGTGTACTGAAGATAGATATGGATTTTACCCAGTAGGCAGTTAGGAGATATTTGATGTCTTAAACATGAGATTGATGTTTCCATAACAGTTTTAAAGAAATAACGTTGATGGCATCGTGAACATTTAATAGGATTAGTGAAGAACCAAGACTATCCATTGAGGAATGAATAAAGCTTGAACATGAAGAGTAGCAGGAAGGATGGAGAATAAGAAATAAATAAAAGAGAAACTGGAGACGTAGAATTTCCTACATAGTGTGTTGTCTTTCCACAGGATTTTCTGGAGACAGAGCTTTAAACTAAAGGAATTCAAAAAGAGGAAATTGAAAGAACCTAAGCAGTTTGATGGAGGGATGAGGTTGCTTGAAGAGGCTTTGTGCTACCCTATGAAGAAAAACTGACCCTCTTCTACATATAATAATGTGCAATATGCAATATGGAGAAAACAAAGCAGAGCCACTGTCATGTGTTTTTCTTTTTCCAGCCTAGATTGATGTAATATGGAGGTTCCTTTTTGTGTTGTCATACATTTTCTGTCCACGTAATTTTAAATTCAATAACATTGTTTTTTCTTAGTGGAAACTAATGTCTATACATCTATTTAACCAAAAAACATAAAATACTTAAACATTTCCTCCAAGGAGTAATGTAAGTGCCACTGGTAAGATAAGATAGATGAGAAAAAGAAAATAAAGTGATAATTACTCTGCTATTTAATGGACTATAGTGTTTTTGAAATATCTTTGTGTAAAATTGTTTTTTTTTTTTGTAATCACTATTGAATCCCAAAAAAGCCTCTTTCTTACCCTCAATTTTATATTTTCTTGCAATATGAGTCATTGATAACACATTCTGGTGCTATCCAAATAAATGCTTTATCAGTATTTTGACTGTGTAATACAAAGGTATATTTGCACCTCGTTGGTATAACTTTTTGCCACAGAAAGACTGAGATTTAATTTATCTTGTCTTATCCATTTCACGTACTTTAGCTCAGTACAGAGCTTTAGGGAATACCTTTAAAGGTGGCTGCCGCCGCTGCATTATGTCCTTTTGTCCTTCTCTGTTACTAGCTGAAATGCGGACAAAGTGACTGGGGTTTCAGCAGCCATCTGGTAAATGACACTACAGTGAAAAAAAAAATCATGATTGCAAAAAGTAAATACAGAAATTGATTAGGCCCTAATTATATGGTGCTTCCTTACCAGCACTGGATTATATAAGCAAGCCTCTTACAAGAGAAAAAAACTTACATAAACCAAAAGTTATTGGAGTTGTCAATTACCTGTGGTCATACAGTTCTGTAATACATTGAAATTAACCATTAGCTTTCTGGACGATGTATTTGTTTCTACTTTTTTTTTTTTCTCTCTCATTTAAATTATACTTAGTGGGATATTCTTGTATCTAAGTACTACACAGTGTCTTCCTTTTTCAGTAAACACTATACTTTCAACATCTTTTTATGCTTAATCCACATCATTGTTTCAGTTTCACATATTTACTGTAATTTATTAAATGAATAACCATTGTAGAATTATTATTTTCCCTTTTTTTTTTTTACTGTGGTAAGCAACAATACATAAATGTACCAGATATTCAAATCCTAGCCAGTATTATGTACTATTAATAATAACAATTAATTAATTAATTGATTAAGCAATTCAGTCAAATAGAGATTTATGCCACACAACTTGGTCTACATAAGAATGCTGTATTTGGGGGGAAAGGCGAGGCGGCATGCCTCTAAAACCAGGTCCAACATAACTGGTGACAGTAATTGTATTAAGCACAAGTAACTGACCATCATAATTGTGTGATATGATGGCTCAATCAAATTCATGACAATACGGGGCTCACTTTGCTCTTGCAGGATGCCACCAAACACTAAAGAAACAGAAATGTATATTTAGGTGAGACTGTGAGATACAGAAATTTGTTATCTCATGTGTCATTACTTATGATATTAAGTGTGTTTTGAAGCTAAAATAGACTTAATTTGCATAAGACATATCTTTTGTTTGTTTTGATGGTTTGAATGTAATGAATGAATAGCTTTGCCTGTTCTCAGTTTCAGATTCTTCCGTCACCACATTTGCTGCCTCATATACATAATGTGATGCTTCAAAATGAGAAAACTGACAAGCAAGCAGAACATACATAATTACTTGAAAATTTAACTTTGGAAAGCAGAAAAAGTCCCTAAAACTTCCAAAAGTGTCAATTTCTTTTATTACATCATTTATTTGTTATTTTTATACTTGTTTTATCTTTAAAAAGCAATACATTTTATAAGTGCCAGGATTGCTTTTGTTCTGGCCGCTACATAGTGTGTGGGTCTCCTTTAAGTTTATTTTAACCTTTCCAATACAAAACAAAACAAAATCAACAAAAGACCAACATCTTTCTCTGATAATATCATAACACTAGTAACTAATGCCACTGATTTAGTCACCAGACGCCATTGCTTTATGTTATTTTGTGTATAGATACCTTGTATTATCACTTAGTCTTTGCATTGTTACTTAACATTTTTTTTTTTTTAATAATTTTAGTTGTAAAGAATGCTGTACTTACATTTTAGGAATTCGGGACAAGTCTTGATGACCAGAAAGTTATAGTTGTATGAAGAATTTTGGCCTTACCCAGTATACAATTTTTCTAACATCTTTTCAATGTAAATATAATCCCTGCATTTTAACACACATTCTTCTTTTAATTATTTAATAACTTATAAGAGTCTTTCATGGGGATAATATTGCAATCAGTTACCAACAACGCAATATTAGCTCTAATAACTTAATCAAATTATGCTATAAAACCTAATGCACTTTGCTATTTTAACAAGAAAAGTCCTTTTTGTATCTATTTTCCTGTTTTTACAGAGCTCAAATCTGAAAAGATAAAACAAACAGTAACTATTTATTCCAAGTGGATATCTGATAATGTCTATCAGCTTCCAACATCTTCTCTCACACTTGATGACTTCTTAATCACATACACTGGTAGTATGTTTTAGTCACAAGTACTAAGTTGTACTATATTCAGACACTGCCACCTTGGTATCCTTTGGTTCTGTGTTACATCCTAGCTTGAACAAGGAAACAAAAAACTCCGAGTTTCTCTTCAGTAACTAGTTGGGTGGTCTTTGGAAATCAAAAACATGTGTGATCTTGATCTAATAAGCAGGAAACTGTAATCCATAGAGGCAAAAGATCTGATCATCACTTTACATTATTACATAGTTTTCTCTAATGCATTTTCTATAGAGATTGTGTACTGACAGCAATGAACTTATTATAGAAATAACTGGCTATTAGAAAAGAAAACACTAATTGATATGGATCTTACATTTTAAAGAAACTATTTATAAATTTCTCTTGAAGTTTGGCAAGTCCTTAAAATAATAAAAGTAAATAATTGTTTAAATCAAGTCTCAACGTACTGACATCTTAGTAGAGTAAAATATATTAGCAGAACTGAAAGTTATTACTTATAGTTCTGTGATTGATCTTTGCCATATGAACCAAAATAATAATGGAAATGAAAAGCATACACACCTCACTATGACAGAAACAATAAAAAAAGGAAATTGACATAAAATTAACTCTTAAAATCTATAGCAGCAATTTAGACAGTATTATAAATAAGTATGATACTTCAAATATTAACATATTTTGTAGATGTCTTTATAATATCATAGACAAACATAAAGAGAGGAAATGAAACAATAATGAGACAACAATGAAACAATAATGAAACAAGAAAAAATGATTTCCTTCACAGTAAGTCATTTGATTTTTTCACCCATGATAAAATAAAAACACATATCCATTAAATTTTATAAACCAAATTTTGAGTATAATATGTATTTAAATGTGTCAAAGAGTGAAGCAGGAATTTGGGACTTCTGGGTAAACTTCGTAGAGAAGTTAAATAATTCAGATGGGTACAAAAATTTAATTTGAGAAAATTTTACTTGAAATTGATCCTATTCTATAAACAAAAAAAGCAAACCAAACACTAAATAATCTTCTCATAGTACTAAAGTAAAGAGACTTATACATTTCCTAGAAATATAATGGGAATATGAGCCACACAGTGTAGATCTAGCTCAGAGGCAGTTTCCACTTGAACTGACGTCAGTGGTGTCAAGTCAGTAATGTGCTTAGGAGTCTGGACACTGGATTCAACTAACTGCTTCTGTTGCAAATGGCAGAATAACCCCCATATACTTAAATCTCAGTTTCTTTTTATGTAAATGGGGAAATGATTAAAAAAACAAATAATAACAAAAGAAACTTCATATTAGATTTTCTATTCATTAAACAAACATTTATTGAGCACTCATGTAGTGTCAGATACTGTTCAATTAACTGAGTAGGAAACAAGATGCTCATCCTCTTGTAGCTTACATGATTAATAAGAGTTGATAGAAGTAACACTGCACCAAGAATCTGCTAACTAGAAAAAGGAGCTTCTATAATAAATATTGTAATGATTTATATTATTATTACCTCACTGAATTGTAAGCTAACATGAAATCCTTTGTCATCTGATATGGTGTGGTTTGATATAATGCACTAGAAGTAGAAGTGATCAACACTTGATGGCTGATAATAACACATTTATCATGCCTCTTTATATAATATATATGACTTTGATGATAAATGAAATGTGGTCTGAGTTCATACCTATGGCCTACAATCTGGCAATCTACAGAAACATATTTAATTATTTTATTTATGCAGGTTTTTGAAGTATATTTTTTGAAAGTTTGCTTATCTTAACTATGAAAAGCTTTCAGAATCATAGAATTTATTTTTTAAAATTAGGCTAACATAAAGTACAGTCTTTAAGAAGCTCTTTTTTACTCTAATAGATAATGTACTTTTATAGTAAACAATAATATATTTTATTCACTGAATCTCTGAAAAGTTAACTCCATTTTAAGTAAAGAGCGATTTACACATTCTTGGAATTATATTTGGGGAATAAAATTTAAATGCAATGAAAAACTAAATTTCAGTGACAAAGAGAACTAAATATAGCACTTATTAGAATTCTCAATTCTTTCTCAGTTGATTCTATTAACTTTCCTTTCTCTTTCATTTATCATTTATTCTCAATTTTTAAGTTTCTGTATAAATAAATGTCATTGCAGATTCATGTATTATTTCTCTATGGCTGCTGTAACAAATTACTGCAAACTTGGTGGACTAAACCCACAATTTAGTACTTTACAATTGTGTAGGTTAGAAATCTGATTTGGGCTACACTGAGCTAAAATCAAGGTGTTGGCAGGGCTGCATCCCTCTGGAGACTCCAGGGAAAAATCCAATTTCTGGAAATGACATACATTCCTTGGTTTGTGACCCCTTATTCCATCTTCAAAGCCAATAACAGTGGGTTGAATCCTTTTCATGATGCCATCTTTCTGGTTCTCTACAGCCAGGATAGGTATCTGCTCTTAATAACCCATGTAATTAGATTGGACACACCTGTCTAATCCAGGACATTTTTGTCTATCTCAAAATCTTTAGCTTAATCATATCTACAAAGTCCATTTTGCTGCATGAAACAGCACATTCGCAAATTCTGAAGATTAGGATGTGGACATCTTAGGGGATCATTATCCTGCCTGCCACACACAGTCTGCGAAATAAACATGCACAATAATAAATGGTAAAATAAATAGGGAAGATGTATGTAAAAAAATTACTTTAGAAGAGAATATTTTGTATTAATTATTCATAAAGCATAGCAAAGAATTTTTAAAAGACTATATTATTTGTTAAAAATTTAATATAACAGGCTCAGAATTTTTAAGTAACTTTATTATCTTTTTCTTAATAAAGATCACCTTTTCCCTTATCATTATTAC